AGTCTTGCCGATTGATGCAAACGATCTTTGGCGAGAAGACTTTCCAGGTGCTGCAACTTCTAACCTGCTCCGAACCCGAGCTAAGACTCGGGAAGAGTGACAGCGGGGCCATGACAGTTGTGGATGGGAGGGTACTTCTTTATCCCAGACCAGGGACCCGCCGGACGTTGCCGTGAGCTCGAGCTGCCTGGGTGGCCTGGGTGGAGGACCTCGACGAGTCTACCCAGCTAGGATCTATTCAAGTACATACCTGGACCTACAAGGAGGTGTCCTGTCTGGAGGTCTCTTAGTGGTGGGCTGGGGCGAAACCAGCCAGGTGACCCCGACATGAAGGTGGTGGTAGGAAGTCCTCGGGAGTCGTTTCGACCAGTTCGGGAGTCGTTTCACCACCGTTTATAGCGGGGTGTCTCGCCAGTGTCGGTCTCTGATCGGATCGGATCGCGTGCAGGGCAGCGGCTTGGAGAAAGACACCGGATGTGACGAGCCCCAGTCACAGGGGCAACATACGGGGAGAACGGGGGTTTCGATGGTCATACCATGTCACACCCCAGCAATGAATTGAATGGGTGACCTCGGTTTTGTAGCTTAACTTAGAAAAACAATGGTTCATGTCGAAACCAAAGGGATTCAGATCTCCAGCCCTGGATCTTTGCAGGAGATCATCAAGTGCGAAGCTGGGCCGAGCCTGCAGGCTGAGTTGTAGCTCCGAAGGAGCACAACACGGAGAATCCGTTTGGCCCAAAAGCACAGCAAGAACCGACCGGTTTTCGGAACGCTGCGTGGAACCCGACCCGGGTCGGACCTCAGGTAGAGTCCGAGTTGGAGCGATTTGAGTCCGGTCGCAAGTCCCTGTGCTTTCGTCGATTCGCTTGAAGTGTGGAAGTCTCAAGGGGAGGAGTTATAGTCATGGTGCCTTTGCCTATATAGTCAGTGTGCTTTTTGATTGTTTGTCTCCAGGCTTGTGAGACTTCAGATTTACGTGTTGTGGCAATGCATTGCTGGCCTTTTTTGGTTCTGAGTGAGTTAAGAACATCCACTTTTATTGGGTTCATCCTTTGGGTCCATTCAGAAAACAACCAATGCGTTGGAGGCGCAGGTACTTGCACGAAGCTTCTTGCTCAATGGAGCAAGTCAAGCGAATGTACGAACAGAGCTGCATTTTGCATGCTTTTACTCTTAATAATTTGTTTGGGGGACCCCTTGCATGTGAAGTGTGCACTTTCGTCCAGGATGAGGTGGTGACCAAAGAACTGCCGCACTTGCCGCAGGCAAGACAAGCAGTGAGTCGCAGTGAGTGGCCGGCTTCGGCCATTTGTCCTTTCATCCACGCAGGAGACTCCCGCGGAAGCTTGAAAGCAATCCAACTGGTCCGACCAGTAGCGAAGCTGTGTGGCGCGACCAGCGAAGCTGTGTGGCGACCAACGAAGCGGACATCGGACATCGGACATCGACGCCCAAGGAAGTTCACAAAAGGAAACTGCACGGACCGATTCTGAAGCGGCCATGACCTGTTGGACTGTGGATTCCAAAGCAGCCCCAACCAGCGTCGTTTTGGACGACGTCTGCTCGTCGGCTCGCGGTCAACGACCTCCATGGCTGGTGCGCCGGTGTCGTCCGGTCACCGAGTTTGATTCTTTGGGGCGTCACCCGCCGGGTTGTTCAGTGAACGAGGCATCGGAGGCGTTCGGTGATGGTTTCGGATATTCATATTTTCAACCCTTGCTTGGGGAGGATTGGACCCTCTGACTCATATTTTTCAAGTGGGTTGAGCACACCAAGCAGGATGCTTCTTTTTCTTTTGTCCAATGTCGCGAGCCGAAATCGTCTCTCCTTCCTTCGGACGCCGAACGCCTCGTCGCTCCGGCCATGCGGCCATGCGGCCAGGGCGGCGGCCGTGGAGGTGGAGCTGGAGCTGGCGAAAGAGAGGAAACCTTTGCGAAAGAAAAAACACCTCTTTGGGCCGTTTGGAAGCGAAGGGAAGGGGGAAGAGTGATGAGTGATGAGGGATGATGAGGGTGTGTGGTCAAAACTAGTTGGATCGTTTCTTGGAGGAACACTGTTAGAGGTTGGTCAACTCTTGTGGAGGACAACTGTTCAATTCGGCGGTGTTTTTCTGGTCGACTTGACCATGGCCAAGGGAGCAGATATTGGGGGAGAGGGAGAGAGGGAGACGTGCACATGAAACTCTAGCTGGTACGAGGTCACTGTTTGGATCATCTCAGAATCGCTCCTCCGTCCGGGGCCACCGGGCCACGGGGAGATCTGGGATTCTCTGGTGAGTCGTGGATTGGCGGCAAGGACGGCTGACATCACGACAAGGGTGTTTCAGGGTTTCCAAAAAGAGCTGGTCAGACTTGTTTACTACATGTCCCAAGCTTGGAGCTTGCTGTGCAAGATGAGATCTGGGTGGGGCGCGTCCGGACTCATACGAGCACCACTTGGCCTGTCTCCGTGCACCCTGAGGGTGGCTCGACAAAGCGGTGAAGCAAACCCTGAGAGTCCAGTCATGACTAATTTTACGCATTTTATCCCTATTGGTAGTGGTGGATGGATTGACTACCAGGTGGAGTAGTTCATGTTCGTCATTTCGTCACGGAAGTTCTGGGATGAGGAAGGAGAAGGCCTGGCGACAGGTCTTCGGGCTGTGTCAAGCGTGCCGACTGGCTGGGTGCAGAAACTGTGTGCCATTTGACCAGAGATGGTGAGAACATGTGAGAACAATGATAGAAATCATGTAAGGGGTCAGAAGAAACAACCATCTGTTCAACTCAGCTGAGGTTTGCGGCAACGAAACTTTCATGGCCTGATTCTTTCGTTAAAAGCTCTCCTTCACCAAGCTTACATCAAAAGAGTTTTGGGACATCTACGATAGGGATACAGTAAGAACATCTAAGACCGTAAGACCCTATCCTGTATCTTGCAACGACTATATATATAAATAAGAGCTTTGCGATCAAGTTTTCACTGTTGACTCCTGCATCGTCATGGAGCTTTGCTTCAAAACCGGGACCAGCACAGGATCGGCTGGGCAGGGTTGGGGAAAACGTTTCGCACACTGAAAAAGCCCGCGGCGCGATGCATCCAAGCTGCCGCTGATGCTGGATGAAGGTGGGGAGTTTGTCAATCTTTTTCGTTCTTTTTGGGTTGAGTCGAAGAAGACGCCCTTCCCCGCCTCCCAAAAAAGTGCCTGGTTTTGAGGAGTTTCTGGGAGACCTTGTGTTTCGTATCTTTCAGACCTGCGTTCTGGTGCTTTGATCTTGTGGATGTTGCATGCTGCCTGGTTGCCTTTCTCTCTTGCCATTTCTTTTGGTTGTTTGGTTTGTTTTGGATTGGTTTGGTTTGTTTGTTTGTTGTTCCGCAAGCAGTTCTACTTTTGGGCTTCTCTCTTCGGACCAACCCGTCCAATCGGTTCGGCCATCCTTTCCGGCGAGGACCAGCCTCGCCGGTCCACCATGGCGTGGACTCCCTGAAGGAATCATCGCTACGTGGAGTGAACACGTCGACGTACCTGTTTGGTCATGGCATCCATGCCATCATGGAAAAGGGCTGTGTATGTAGATGTAGATGTAGATGTAGATCTCCATTTTAGATCCCCGAGAATGCTTCTTCTGTGCCATCCATTTGGATCCCCAACTCACTTCGCCAGTGACTGAGCCACTTCTGGTCGTCACCGGATCGACCGAGCGGTCGATCGACAAACCACGGCAGGCGCATGGATGAGGCGGAGCGAGTGGAGATTGCAGGCGGGACCAGCGGGGGGTCTTCCCCCAGCAGTTCAAGGAAATAGGGGAAGACCATAAACATCATGACGGCAAAATCCATGGCAGATCTCTTCCTATATGGCCAAAGCCCAGTCCATCTCTTGTAGGGGTTGGGCACCTGTTCAGATGCGTACCAATGATTCGCGCATCTGAACCATGCCGTCAACCCAGACTAATAGATTGCATAACAGAGATGGAAGATTTTCTCGTTCATAGGTTGCATCAGGCGAAGAACATGGCATCTCAATGGCATATCTCCTGGAAACCCAAAGAACCCAACGCAATCGTTCCAGAACTGATTCCGGCTGGGAGCTGGGTGGACTCTTTCTCTCCTCCACCTCATGCGCCGAACTCGCCCGCGTCGTGATGCCAGGCCATGTGGGCCGCCTGGGTACCGAGTCCGGGAGCCTCAGTTGAAGGGGGTCGCCCCCCCCCCCCCCTCCGCTGGAGTCATCCAGTGTGGGCAGAGCAGCGCACGTGGACAGCAGGAGCCTCCTGTTTGGGGTGGCTGGAAGGTCTTGGGGGTCTGGATGCTGTCTGGATGCTCCAGGTTGGTCTGTTTCTTCCTCGGTCGGGCTCACATGGACTGGTCTGCATACATTTCTCCCCACTTGGCCTGTGATCGGCGTTGTGGCTCGCCCCTGCTGTGCCGCTGCTGCCTTGTCTCTCCACTTGTCTCCTTACATTCGCTCTGGGCTGAGAGGACAAGATGTGCTTCCGATTGAGTTAGGGGTCTATGACGGTGTATGTTTTTGGTTGCCGGGTCTCACTGTCTGTTGCTGTCAGATTGAAGCCCGAACGCCTTTTTTCAGTGCCATTGTTCATTCTTGGATGTGGACCAAAGTAACTCAGAAGTCGTCCGGAAGTTCCATGGATTTGGGGCCTGTCACGACCATGGTCAAGATGACTTGCGCAGACCGTCACGACGGGGGGAACCCGGAGGCAGGCGTAGCACAGGGGGCGCGGCGGATGTGGTTGGACAAGCACAGGGGAGTGGAGTGAAGAAGCCAATGCTAGCACCACATTCCTCATACTAGCTGGTGGTTAGAAAGGAGAGAGAAAAAGAGTCTTACCCTCCGCAGGTCCCCTTGAAGCAGCTGGAACTCGGACGGATTTTGTTCCTGATCAGGACTTTCTAGCAGGCGTGATTGGAGAAGATCCTACATAGTCTCATGCACTCAGATGAGTGACGACACTCATCCCATTCTTGCAAGCCAGCTGCAGTGATCTCATCGGTTGCCATCTGATTTTAGAAGAATTACCAACAGAGGTTTTCTGAACCCGACTCTTCGACTATCGGCTACGTTCCAGCTGTTCCGGGCCCGACTCGTCGACGCGTTCCACCGACCGGTCGAGTACACACACACCGGTCGAGCCTCCGTCGACCCTGGTCGACCCTGGTTGAACCTCCCAACCCGGCGTGACCCGACGCTCCGACCGTTGGGGGTCCGCTGAGACTGATCCGCTTTGCGGAGCTGGCGCGCGCGAGGTGGGCGGAGCTGGTCGGGGGTGGGGGAGAACAGGCACTCCCGGAAGGAATGGATGGAAATGGAAGAAATGGCCCGGGGCGGAAGCATTTTCCTCTAGTGAAGTCCATTTCCATTTCAAGGAGTGTAGACGGGTCATCCCCCTTGAAAAGACATGAAGAGTGACAGGTGTCAGATCCAGGACGAGGAGCAGCTGATTCAGCTAGTGACAGAGAGTGGATCTGGTTGCTCTTTTCACGGAAGAAGGGTTGTCACATCGGCAGTGCCCCCAAGTCGAGGGGACCTACCTTTAGCCCCTCGCAGCTTTTAGAAGGCCAGGGTTACTCCCCCTGCTGAACCTGGGCCCCCCAAAACCACGGGTCGGGTCGGTCTTCACTCTTCAGGTCGTGTCCCCCCGCTGGTGAATTCTCGGGTCGATGAGGTCTGTACCCCCGCGGGGGGGGGTTCCATCCATCCACCCAGCGGTGTCCGGTCACCAACGACCCCTCGGTCTCCGTCGGCCCGGTGGTCCTTTGGGGAGTAGTCGGCCCAGTGGTCGAGCATGAAGACGAACAGACCCTGGACACCTGGGATGGAGAAGATGCTGCACCACTCCAGTGGCCCCCCAGAAACGGCAAGGAAGCCCTACTTGAGGGAATTCTCTCTTTTGTGAAAGTGGATGTTCCTTTAAGTATTGTCAGTATTGTGGAGATGCAGGTTCTAGCAGCTCCGAAGAACAGATACGTCCAAGAAGAAGTCCGTGTGAACTGTCGGGGGCCCTCTTCCAACTTCAGGTGGTCACTTCAGTCACCGAACCCACATGTCATCGCTTCGTTCACCCTCCGAGCCTTCGGCACTTCGGCACCAACATGACCACCGCGGTCTTCGGGCCGCGAAGAGGTTGAACGCCATGCAAGATCGCGGTGCCGGGACCTGCACTTCGGATGGGACTGGGTTGATCACTGTCGCAGTCGCACCGGGTAGCTCGGTTCTGGGACCCTTAGAGGAACAGAGGAACGGATGGACCCCCGTCAAAGGTATGCTTGAAACGACGGTGCGGAGCTTCGGTGATTGATCCATGCGTTGCTTGTTTGGAGCTTTGCCAGGGTATGACAATTGACCATGTATGACCAAGCAGTCCGCAGTCCCCATGTCGTGGAGGTTGAGCCTGTTTTGTAAGTGGATTTAAGTGACAGGGGCACCCCCGAAGACCTCCAAGAAGCACCCCGGAAAGACCTGCTGGTAACTCAACTTCCTACCTGGAAACCCACGCAACCAGAAGAAAATAGACGTTTTCCGAGTCCCAACCACTTGTTATGCAAGGATCTCAAGCAAGTATAAATCAATCTAATGATCGATTTTTCTAGTCGTCTGTTGTCCACTGCGATCCTCTTCGAACTCTTCGCAGAACGATGTCCTTCGTCACCGGGGGCCGGCAGAGAGAGAAGCGAAGGGCCCGAACCATGCGAAGCGGAAGCGAAAGATGAGATGCCCCAGGTGTTGGATGGTGTTGGACGTTCAGGATCGTCAAGGAACATAGAGGATCTCAATTGGCCAAGCAAGCCATCTTGGCTTCCAGGTATAGGGGTCTCTGGTTGGGTTTGAAACTATAGGTTTCTTTTTAGAAGGATGTAGGCACGGGTTCCATCTCTCCCACGGAGGCACGGGTCCGACCCGCACTTTCGGTCAGGGGGTCAGAGCCCCTCGCATCCCCTGGACTTGTCCATCTGAAGAGGCTCCCTCGGGTCCGAGCTGGACGGAAACATGTGACTGAGATGTGCCTCTCGTCACATTAGACCTCAAAAAAACCCAACGCCAAGCGAAACATCAACCACCAAACACACAATGTCATGTCCCTTTTGTGGTCAGATTCCAGGTCGTGGACAGCCGCTGGCGACCATCGCCATCCCAGGATTCCGGCTGCTTCTGCCTGCCGAGTGGCTACACCTGATCCTCCAAGATCCGACCCAAGTTCGGTCCCTCTTCGACCCTCCCAAGTTCGGTCCCTCGCCTCGCCTCGTCTGCCATGGGATGTGGATGTCTCGCCTCATCCAGGTGTGCCGAATCTGAGCTTGGAGGATCAGCCCCATCCGGCCATCTATCTGGAGGCAGGGGAGGTCACGAACCGGTTAGATGAGACGAATCTGGGCAGCCGGGTGTTTGTTCAACACATGGTGTGAGACGACGTCATTGCCACATTCGGCAGGATGAGTCCCAAGTGTAGAAACCTATCATCTCAATTCTTCAATGACCATATTAAGTTCTTTTTTTTCTCCCCACCATGTCTTTCACCCTTTCCCTTTGGGCTTCATGGCCTGCTTCGCCTTTCGGGCCTTCACGACCTCCGTCCGCGACCCTTCGGATCCGACCGGGTCCGACCGGGTCGATTTGATGGCCGGTTCGGGCCGCCTCGGGTGAGTCACATGGGACATGACTCGTACTAAGCTGTTTGTCATTAATCATTATGTCATGTCCCATTTTCGAAGGTGCTTTGGAGGGTCCAGGTTCGTAGTTTTTTAGCAGGCTGCTTTGAATCATTTGAATCGTCGAGCATTCGCCTCATGTATTTTTTTTTCTGGGGCTGTGTCCCACAGGCCCCTCTCGGGGCCTCTCGAGGTAATGCTCTTGGTACTGCGATCGGCGGTGGTTGATCTGTTGTTTAGCAGGCATTCTTTTCTGTGCGGAGTCTTCACAGGTTTCACTGGATGCTTTGCATCGAACTTGATGAACCGCGCATCCTCTCTGTTCGGCTCCTGGTAACTTGAGCTGTTGGGAGCCCAAAACAGTGCTTGCGGGAAAAAGGTAAAACATGGTAAAACCTTGCTACCAGAGGTGGGTCAGAAACTGACTGTTCGACTATCCTAGTTGGGTACCCTTGCGGTGTTCCGGGTCTCGTTCAGGGAACCGTTCCACCTCTGTTGGGATGCACATCCTTTTGGGGAGGATGTCGGGGACGTGACGTCCCCAACTCTTCGGCCTAGGCGGGTCTCGGACCTTGGGGGAAAGACAAGGGTGACACGTTGCACCGCGCGGAGGCCCAAGCTGTTGGCCTCGACGAATGGGGCATGGGGGGACAAACACAGACATGAAAAGACACCGGTGGGTCATGCAGTGGGACCTCACCATGCCGGTTTAGCAGGTCCATTCAGAATTGACGGCTCAAGGCGCAAGGTATGGCAGGTCCAATGTTGAAAACATGCCAATTGAGCGTTCCAGTTACAAACGTGACCAGCTGAGTAGTATCAAGTCAACACAGCAGGTGCACAGAGCTTATCAGGCGCTGCTTCCAGCACAAAGTAGATAGCTTCATTGGGTGCAGTTCTCCACTGTCCTTTGCACTTCCTGCTGCAACATGCTACCTTGCAAGCTTCTAGAAGCCATAGCATGCCCATGAATCCAGGGCTTCTACACACCAAATTGAACACATTTGTGGCTGGGCGAAGGATTGGTCTAATTTGGAGATGGTTCGCCTTGCTGAGGCTGGCGCTCCTCGCCCGTCCAGCGACCTCGGGACGCCCATTCGTTCGAACCGACCGAGTCGGCCAGAAGAACCAGCTGAGTCCACAGGGCCCGCTCAGGTGGTCCAGCAAGGTGCTCATTTTCTTCACAGCAGCCCGGTTTGGAAGAACCTTCCTCGATTGATTTGCGAATCCGGTTCTTCTACCAGAGTCTGCGCCCTATTGGTTTCGGAAGCAACATGAAGTATAGTGGAGGAGCATTGTAGACTTACCAACTCCACATGGAGCAACTTCGGAACTTTTGGAACTCCAATGCGCTCAGTTCGGTGCAGCCCAGTGCTCACCCAGCCCAGAACAAGAATGGCAACAGGACCTGAAGTGAATTTGGTGAATTTTCTCCAGGACAACCAAGAGAGGTTGAGTGACCTAGCTTATATAGGACCCCGAACACCTGGGGTACCCAACTGGGATAGTCGAACAGATCGGGTTCTGACCCACTTCTGTTGGCAGGGTCTCCCGAGAGACTCCCTTCTCGAGAGACAGGTCCTGAGGGCATTGCCACGGCTCAGGTGGGAATGGACATGGAATTATCATAATCTTTATACCGTTCCTTTGCCTGTTCTAGTGGACTTTTGTATAGTACTTTCGAGCACATCAAGTATATCTCTATAGGGACCCTAGGGCTTGAGGTACATCACATTGGTGGCTCGCCCGGAGGGCCCCCGCGGAGCGCGGGATTCGCGGTCAGGAGCTGCCTGAACCTCCTGAATCACCAGGTCCAGGTTGGGTAGGTTGGTTGGGTTGGCAATCTTTTTCTACATGTCACCCCATGCCAATCAGCACCCTCACTAACCCCAGGGTCAGCAGGTTTGAGATCTCTTGGGAGGGCCCGCAAAAAGACTGAACGCCTCTTTTTCGAGGACACCGGTTGGTCGTCGAGTGCTGGCAGCTTTGCCGGTGATGTCACTGAACCCGGAACGAGTGCTGATTCGTTCTGAATCAAGAACGAGATACGATACAAGAGACACGAGACGTCTCGATGGCCTTCCAAACAGATGGCTGCCTTGTTTCTGGGCACCTTCCACCATTTCCTCCTGGGAGGGCCATTTTCCCATGTAATCCCTTTTCTCAAAGAAAAGCGGGTGGATCTGTTCATTTGAAGGGGTCAATTCTCAAATGGTGCCCGGATGCGACCCACCCTTTCCGGCGATGGAAGAGGATGAAAATACATCCGATCCTAGTCCTGAGAAGAAGACAACTGCTGGAGTCTGATGGTGTTCTCAAGTTCGTCTGCTTTTTGGGCAGAACGTTTTTCATTGGCCAAGACGTTCCTTATTGAGGCTTTATACCAGGACACCCGGACACGGGGTGTCTATGTAACCTAGTATATTGTATGTATTGTCTTGCGATGTAAGGCTCTGCTGTCCACACCTAACGTGAAGGTGTTTCGAGCGAATGATACCGTTTGTTCGGTGTTTCCCGGTCACCACCTGCGGTTGGGTCTCTTTACGCAGCCAAACCTTGAAGGTAGATTCTTGAAAAAAGGTCATAAGACATGGTGTTTCAGGACTCCCACAGTTCACTCCAACACCTTCGCCAACCCGGCACATGGCATAGGTGGCTATTTCCTGGAGGCGCCCCGTAGGCACTGCCGTGCTAGCGTCCAATCCCAGGAGCGCTCCCAAGTGTTCCAGCACTTGGTGGTACCTGTTGCATGCCTGACTCTTCCTGGTTTGAGTGAAGAAGGAAACCCCAGAGAAAAAATAAGGACATCTCCAAACGGCGAAGATCTCCGCGTCCAAAACGGAGGGGCCGAGAAGTAAAGCGAAGTCCGCGGTCTCGCGTGCCATTTGGCAGGAGATTCCGGAGCCTCCTGAATCACCAGGCTGGGGTGCTGTCAAGCCACTGTAGCATGTAGGACCATGCCATCGAACACTGATCGTTGATCATTGACCAAAACGACCCCAATTTCAAACCATGAACCTATCATTAGACCTCCTAGGGTCACAGATGCTTTCCTCAAAAGCCATGGTCGCCACCGAACGGACGACCATGGCTTTTTCAGAGACACCGGTTTGTACGGACCGAGTGAAGCAGGCGAGCTTGGCCACGGCCCTCCGCGAGCTCAGCGAGCTCAACGGCCGTATGAGCTGCCCGAGCCCCCCTGCGTGGTGGAGGCGACTCCTCCCGAGCTGCCTGGGGCCATGTGTTGGGAAGTCACTCTCCAAAGGGCTTCTGTGCCGCATCGCCGAAGGTAGTTAGACCAGACCCAGCGGCCCAGACGCCCAGACGCATTCGAGCTCCGTCCAGTCGACCGCATCGTCCAGGAGCCCCCAGAACCGCCGGACTCCCCACAGGATGCAGGTGGGTGGGTGGGTCGGACGTGGACGGGTGCGGGCGTTGGACGTGCGCAACGAACAACCTCTTTGGCAGTTTTTGTTCAGAATCTTTTGAGTGCACAGAACACAGTGCTCCGTAGCACCTGAGCGCACAGAACACCGATGTACTGAGCACCAACTGTTGGACCGACGACCGGTCCACCGCCAGATCGGTCGACGGCGGGCGCGGAGCGCGCACCTCTGGTCGAAACCCGCTGACGAGTCGTCGCGGTCCGCTGACGTAGCCATTGGATTTGAGAGTCTTTCATCTTCACCAAATGAATTGACTGAGGTTTCACCGAACACTTCTTTCCTTTCCTTTCCTTTTGTTTTTCAAAAGCAACAGGTTTCACCCAAAAACACCAGGTCTTCTATCCATCGCAGGCCTTCGGTCTCCTGCGTGGGTCGGTCTTTAGCCTCCCGAGCCTCTTGGAGGCTTTGGAGCTGACGGCCGACGCGGCACACCGGACAGCGGCCGGAAGGGGCGAGGCACACGGGCCAGCGGGTGAATGGGATGAGAGACCAAGGGTCATTCAGATTTGGTGGAGAAACATATATACCCTACAAGTCCAAAGACTATATTTCGCCCCCCTGAAGTAAAGCGTATTCCTTTTCCGGTCACCTAAAGACCATTCTTGTGATAGTCTTTGACTCCGCGGGTATATATACCAGGACCACGGAGTTCGGGTGGTCGGGTGGTTTATGGACACCCCTTTCCCGATGTATGACTTCATCCAATAACACATTCCTTCCGTGGTCCTGGTATATACATACGAGGATATCTACCTGGCTTCTTCAGTTCGTGACCTTTGTGGAGTCCCAGCCATTGACCTATCTAAAGAATTCTAAAGATATAGTTGGTGTGAGTGTGAGCGTGTGTTCTTATGCGTGGCAAATTTTGGGGTGCATGAAGGTGCGAGTGACCTGTTTCCATGGTTCTCTCGAACGTCGATGGCGAAGAACCAGGTCTTAGCTAGGCATCCACCGTTCACAGGGTGTAGGAGCAGGTGTGTCCCTGTCGGTGGACTATGAATGTCTCTTAATGAGCGGAGATGGTGGAGTGCTATAGGGGACCTTTCCTGATGTCCCCAGGTTCCTTTGAACATGTTCAACGAAACAGCGGACAAACCACATACTTCACAATTCACAATGAGCCAAAAACCCACCCCAATCCCCCAAACCATCTGGAAAACCATCTAATAAGATCTATACCCTAGAAGTCCAAAGACTATATTTTGCCCCTGAAGTAAAGCATATTCCTTTTCCGGTCACCTAAAGACCATTCTTGTGATAGTCTTTGACTCCCAGGGTATAACAAGTGGACCCTTTTGGTGTCGGATTCGGTCCAAACGGCGGCCGAATGCCACACCAAGCTGCCGGGTTCAACAGGGCCGAAGCTCTTCTTGCCCATGCCGATGCCCTGCCAGCTCGAGGACCGCAACGAAGTTCGGGCGGGGTGGTTTTTAGAACTCTGGCCGTCTGAGAAGAATCTCCTCCTGAATAAACCTTTCATGGCTTTCCACTTCTGTGTAAACGTGAGTTGAGTATAGTTGAGCGATGTTGAGCGTATTCTAGTCAAGCAGACGTTTGTTGGCACAGTAGGCAAATTTTCTTGAAGTAACCCCCACGTCCACATGTCCTACTGTTCATTGCTGTTCCAAAGTTTTTTTGTAGGAGGAGTTCGTTTTTGGGCTCTTCCCACGTGACAAAGCACTGCATGGTGGCATGCATCTGCCACTGGGTGTTTCAACACCCCAAGTCTGTTGACCTGCAGGAGCAACACCCACCACCCGAATCTCCAGGCCAGGTCGATCTGACGGGACGTGACGACCGACGTGACGTGCAGACGGGCTTGCCTAGCTGTCTCCAGTTGGAACGACCGGTCGGAGACGGGTGGGATTTGTGTGGAATCCTCGATTCATCTCAATGCTACCCCAACCACCATGGGTGGTTTGTAGCGAACCTGCATGAGCAACACACTGGAGTTTCACGCTGCATGTCCCTGTTCCCCATGTCTCTTGTTGTCGTTTCTTCTTTCCCGTCCTTCACCAAAGACAAGAAGCACCATTTCGGCCACGTGTCGCCGTCCTTCTCTTCCATGTCTTTGGCGCCGTTTTCGCTCCACTCTCAGCAGCATTCTCTCTTCCACCACTCCGGCAGGGAACTCCAACAGAGGCGGATCAGAACTCGTCCCATAGGTACAGGACGGATCGGACGGATCGGACGGATCGGACGCGGTACCCGTCGCGGTCGAGGCACGCCGGAGCCTCCCTGGACGCCGGAGGAAACGGAGAGTCCCACGGCGACGGCGGTCGAGGCGGAGGGGAAGAGGCGGTTTTGCTCGGGCGGTGAGGTGGAGGTGGACGTGGATGAAGTGGAGGTGTTCGACGACTACTTGGGGGGCTCGCCGACTCGCATCATCTGAGTAATCTGAACATATCTGAACATCGTCTTGGACTTGGGTGGAGCACCTCAGAACTCCAGGCTGCAGATGGAGCTGCTGGAGCATTTGGTGCAGATTGCAAGGCTACAGAGTCCCCAACGACGCTTTCGATGGAGGATGTTGCCCTTTGAAGCGACGTGTTTTTCTTGGAAAGAGATTCAATCCATCGGTTTTCACCTGCTTTTCACCTGCTTTTCACCTGCTTTTCATGGTTCTGGGACTTAGGACCATGATCTCAAACCCTGTGGGGTGTGGGGTTCTACACCACGCCTCATGGTGTGTATGTCTCCACCGACTGACTGGTGCGGTTTCCCTGCATGTGACGAAGATGAAACTTCACTTCGCACCCAAGAAAACCACACATTTGGCACATGGCTTTTGGTTAGACTTGGTTAGACATCTGATTGTTGGAGAACCCTCCAAGATCTGGTGACCACTGGTCTGGTCCAGGCCGGTCTGAGGAGGGTTCGAAGGTCCCCCCCCTGACGGACTCGGGTTTCGGTCTGACTCGGATCGTCGGTGCGCTTTTGGACCTCGACGTTCCAAACAGAATGGGCAGCCAGCTACTTCGCAGCCGGGGCAGCGAAGTCTGAAGTCTAAATTTGGGGGCATGAACTTTGGATGGAGGGCAGCCAGTTGACATCACCGTGCAGCTTCTGAATGGCCCTCCTTTTTTGTTTTTTTTGGGGTGCTCGATCCCATGTGTCAACACCCACCCAACTTTAGGGAACAACATGACCTTAGGAACCATAGCATCTATCAACCTGTCAGGATGGCTATTGGATGGTCAAGTACCATGGCATCTATCAACCTGTCAGGTGGTGGTAGACCATGTCCTCCATGTCCGTTCGCACATCGGCCACCTGATGCTTCGACCGACCGAAACCGCATGGCCACCTGATGGCTCTCTGCATTGGGATTCCTTATTTGAGTGAGCTTCGCTCTCCCAAGCCCCGTGAGTGCTTGGGTGAAGCAGGATCGAGACTTGGATCGCTGGTCGAACCTTCACAGCCATGGCTCAAGGTTTTTAAGTCCAAGCCCTTTGGAGCTGAGTTTGTCAGTTTCATGTCCATGGCCCTTTCATGGTTGTTTCTTGGTGATCAGACGGATCAGGGATCACGGCGAGTTGGCGACGGGATTGGCGGGTGAGACGCATTCAAACATCTTACCTGGACCATCCTGTCTGGGTGTCCTGGCTGGACTACCCTGTACTACTTAGGGATCTCCAGCCAGGACACCCAGACAGGATGATCCTGGTCTAAATCGTTTTGGGTTGGGAGGACGAGTTCGTTCGTTCGGGTGACGTTTTCCCGTTGTCCCAGTCGATCGACGTCGGAGCTAGTGGACGAAGTTCTGGGCATCCAAGGGTTCTTGTGAGTCTTTGGATTCGTTGGTGTGAACATGGGAAGATACCTGAGCGCAGTTCATTGATCGAAGATCAAATCATGTGTCTTTTGGACTCAAACTCCGCCGAAGATGGGTTGTGCAGCAGAAACTTCAGCTCTATGCCTGTCTTTTGGATCCTTTTCGAGTCTTCTTGGGCTGGAAAACCCTGCAAAAGAGTCCTGTTTCTCACCTTTGGACAGACCACCGCTATTTCTTCTCTTCAGAGTACCCTCCTAAAACCGTCCTTTTCAAGGCCCCAAACCGCCCGACAACAACGGCGCGACGATGTCGCTTTGGGCGGTTGGCTGGGCGGTCGGGTTGTGGCCAGTCAGGTTCATCTGCCTTGCTTTGACGCTGGCGGAGGCGGGCGTTCCTATTGGAAGCCAAGCCAACCCAAGGCCCAGCCTCACATGCTGGCTGGCAGGCTTTAAAGGTGACACGACGTATGCTCAATGATGGTTCACGTTGGACAGCTTTGGACACCTTGTGGACTCCCTCGACTCATCCTCCAACACCCACAGCCCATTTTGTGTTCTTTTCTGGACCTCTGACAGTCTGACAGTGTCCATTTCGCAGAGAGTCTCCTCCACCTCTGGTCTGCTTCCTAAGTAGCAGTTGGAAGCCAGCCAAGCATGTTGAGGCCATCGTGAGCGAATCACCTCAAGATGAATCTCTGCAGTCAGCTGTGCCTGGTCAGCAACGCTTTCCATTTACGACCCAATTTTCCCGATCGCCTGACAACCGGAAGTGATTCCCTGAGACCACGCAATTCGCGATGCCGCGCTCTCGCGGACCTCGCGACGGCGAGCCCGGCGTCGAACGGCGTCGAGGAAACGCCATGAATGACATAGCTGGGACATATTCTCGATGAGAACACAGGAAGTTGCATGAAGGAGTAACTGAGTCTCGCAATGCTAGGCAGGCCAGAGCCCCTTTTCACGGCTGAACGCGAAACCAGACCCCCCCCCTCAAACTGCGGGTTTTTCTCCTGGACTAGCCAGACCACAACTTGGATCTCCAGCGACGCGTTCTTCACCCCAACCCCATGGTCCAGGGCCCTTTGACCCGTTTCTTCACCCGGAACCCGGTTCTTCACCCTCTCAACCGAGCGCGAAACGAGCCCGCAAACGCACCGCGAAGACGCTTGGAACGAGGCCCCACGCTTGCTCCTCTTCTGGCCGGTGGATGGGTCGAAAAGGACCGTGGCGCTGGCCTCTTGGCGAGGTGAAAGCACCAGAATGCATGGGGGTTTTGGGGAGGCTCCATCCCACACCATCCCACCATTCTGCGTCCTACCACCCTCCATCTGCAGGTCTCCTAGTTTTGAGGGTTTTTTGGTTGTAGGGCCTAAGAAGAGGTCCCAATTGGTGACCTGGCAGTGTCGGGTCCAGTGCTGGGTCATTCTGGGTCGTTCTACTTCCAGGGCAATCCCTCAAGGTCCGGTCAGTTGCGAAGAGGTCGGGCCCCCTGCCATGGAGGCCTCAAAAATGCTTATAAGGCAGTAACATATGCATATTTCCCTGGGCCCTGGGGCTCCAACGACCTCCGTTTCGCTTCGAAGATGGGACAGGGGGCCTCAAACACCAGGGTCTTCAGACCACCGGTCACATGAAACACATGGGACAGGAGGCCCTAGGGTTTGACATGGTTTGACCACTTTGACCATCAGATGTTCAGAAGTTCCTAATGCTCCGACCTTCACATGGACGAGATCGAAGGTCTTTCAGGTGCTTTCTTAACTGGAGCCTGGAGTGCGAGTCCCGTGCAAGTGCGAGTCCCGCGCCGATTTCGGCCGATGGGCCGAGGTGAAGAAGAACGTGAGGTATGTGAAGATTCTTGGCATGTTGGAGAGATCATGAGAGATCCGACTTGAGGAGGATTCAACAGCATTTGGGGCTGATTCCAGCCGACTCATTGACTCCTGTTGATCGACTGTGAGCACCTGCCCCCAAAAAAGGCACGAAGCCGCCCTTTTCTCATTGGCCGAAGCTACTCTCCCTGGAACAAACATGGGGGATCGTGGTGTGAACCCCCCCTGTTTGGTATTTGGATTTCATAGTCCGAAATCGGGGTCATGCCATCTGCTTCCATGCTCGAATTCTCTCCTTTGGGTGGAAAAACCCTCCGGGTGGGAGCCGATTTGTTCAACAATTTTCGAAGCCGGAATCGGGTATATACAAAAGACATGGAACAGACCCGGAGAGACATGTTCATGATGACCTTTGGACCACTTTGGGGAGAGTTTTTGGGTCAGTTTCGCCACACCGGAGCTCCCGCACCTCTTGGTGTTTTCATGGGGTTGCCTTAGCATGCAAAGGGAACACCATGGAACACCTATTCAAGGGTGTCTCCGGCGGTTTTGTGTGGAACAACCATGCCAAAAACCACGACTCCACGAGGTTTTTAGGACGAGACTGGACCTGGGTCAGACTGGACATGTAGGGGTCTGTCTCGCTTCGCCCCAAGGTCCTCGTTGGGCAGGAACTGCTGCAAAGTCTTCCTGGCCCACTACAAAGGCAGGATGAGCATCCCTGCAACGTCCCGAGTTCTTTTTCGAGTTCTTTCCAACATCGCACCCGACAGCAGCACCTGTGAGCAGGTGGTAATGGTATGATATAAACAGGTCTACAGCTCGATTTCGGCCCGCCTTTCTGAACCAAACAGCAGGGAACGGTCATCCACGTCGTCTTCGTGTGTTTTCTCTATTAAGTAAACACACACCCACACGCACCCACACCCCACGTGCCGTTCCTTCACGGGCTCCACTGACCAGCACGGCGCCCGCGGAACGAGCACCAGGAGACGCGGCGCCCTTCGGCGCGGCTTGGTATCGGCGGAACGTGGTGGGAAACCTCAGTGCTTCAGGCGAACTGCTCCGGTCGGTGTCGGGCTCCGGTGCGAGCGGTGGTGACGCTGAAGACAGAAGACGGGATCGATGATCGAGCCGTGTTTCTCGGGTGCAGGTGTTCAGCTTCGAGGCTTTTCTTTGAGTATAGGCACGCTTGCTCTCTCTCTCTCTCTCTGTCTGTCTGTCTGTCTCTGTCTCTCTCTGTGTCCCTCATTTCACACACTTCGATGCTGCGCCGAGTCGAGTGCGTGGAGGTTACAAATTCAGATTTATGCAAGAAGCATATGCCCAGTCTGAGTTGCAGGACAGGGCGAGCGAGTTCCATCCTGCTGTTTCGCGCGGGGAACACGTGGAGTGACTAGGGGTTTGGGACCAAGTTCTATCACGATCATTGACAGATCTGTGTGGCCGATGGCATACCTGGATCTTCCAGCTGTGCAGAATTTCTGCCTTTTCATATGTTTAATTGTTTGTCTTTTTGTAAGGTGTCCAGTTTATGTAGGGCTGAGATGTTCGACTTAGGCGAAGCATACCCCGAAGCATACCCTCTGAAAACGCTACTACTGTATATAGTACTACTAATTACTTTGGTCTTCACACTGTGCGAAGCATACCTTGAAGCATACCTCCGAAGCATACCCCATAGTCAAACATCCCGGCCCAGGAACGTCAACAAAAATACAAAGCCATTTGGCCATTTCATCTATAAAACCCGATCCAAAGGGCAGACATTTTGCACCGTTGGCGGGTGCAAGTTTATGACAAAGTTTGTGAAACGGAATTCCAAGATCCATGCACTGGGTGCAAACTCAAATCGGCGATCGGCATATATAGTTGGCCCAAAAGGATGGAAAAGCTCTTTACAGGTATTCTTCCAAGACCGTCAGTAATGAGCAATGATCATTGGCCGTGGTCTTCCTCATCCGCCGTGGGTCTGGGGATACATGGACGCCAAGTTGGTCCGTTTCTTTTTGCATGTCCTAGTTTTCTACCAGCGATGTGTGCCATGAGAAACCCAGTTCTCTCCTGGTTGTCCTCGGACCTGAAGAGTATTGGTCGAGGTTACAGCCATGGCGATGGGTCCAAAGTTGGAGATGGCCCACCATGGCATCCTGGTTTGACCCACAACCAGATCCGTTTCACGTACGACTTGGGGTTCAGGAGCCCTGGTCCAGCAGCTACGACTATGTCTGGGGCTTGGATAGTGATGTGGACCTCACAGGCAGGGGGGTTTCACCTCGTGCTCTTCATTTTCGGAAAATGGACCAGTTCATAGCCTTGATGCACCGATTGCTGACCGATTCTGGAAGAAAGTTGAGCCAGTTGCGGACCTCGACTCCAACTTAGCAAGGCTTGCCCAAAGATTAACTGCAGTTCCCATCCGGAGAAGGCCGCACCAGTGGCCTAGGCCACGCAACAGTGGCACTCATCTCCGCAAACCTCCGTACCATGATCACCCTGCCCTAAAAGTCTGTGTGACCCTTTTGACATTGGGAAAGAACCTGGTGTTATATCAGAATTCGTCAAGCACAAAGAGTTTCTCAGCACCGGACGAACAATCTGATGCTTCGAGCCCGCACCGGCCATATGCCGCGGCCATCACCCCGGCCGAGCTCGGCTCTGCGACCTCAGGGACCAATTTGACGCGGCTCTTCGAGTTGACGAGGGCCTCGAAGGCCTTGATCGTTGGCCCCACCTTCATCGGCTCAGGCGGTCGGAAGACGTGCGAGCTGCGAATCGAAGCCCGCGCGAGCTTTTGTCCTGGGACAGGTGTGAGGTGAGGTGGTGGTTGGGTTGGTTGGGTTGGAGTAGAGCATGGCTGGTGGAGCGTTGACCAGAGTTGCCGGTCAACTGGTGGAGCCGACCTGGGTGGCTGGAAGGAGTTGTGAGGTTCGGATGGAGCGCAACACTTAGCTGTCGACGTCGAACGGTCCAGCGTTGGACCCTGGTTCTTGAGGTTCGGTTTTTTTCGGTTCTGCAGACGTGCTGTTCTTCACGTTGGTCGATGAGGCAGGTCCAACATGGTGAATTCCCAAGTTTCTGATCCCTGGATCTTCCAGGTGTGCAGAATTTCAGCCTTTGCATACCCGATCGAAAGGGCAGACATTTTGCACCGTTGGCGGGTGCAAGTTTGTGACAAAGTCTGTGAAACGGAATTCCAAGATGAAAGGCAGACCCTTCCCCCATGCACTGGGTGCAAACTCAAATCGGCGATCGGCATATATAGTTGGCCCAAAAGGATGGGAAAGCTCTTTACAGATATTCTTCCAAGACTGTCAGTAATGAGCAATGATCATTGGCCATGATCATTCTGCCATGAGAAACCCAATTCTCTCCTGGTTGTCCTCGGACACTGAAGAGGTTACCTCATGGAGCCGATGTTCCCTCGCCACCGCTATCGCTCTCCGTAGGTGTACCTGTCATAGCCACTTAGCCGTTAAGGGGTGTCCAAAAACCCACCTCTTGAAGGCCCTGGCGGCCCTGGTACCAGATGCATGGAAAAGATCCCGTTCTGTCGTCCCCATCCGGGGCTCCTGGTTCCGGACACCCGCAGCTTCCGGGCACCCGCAGCACGGCCCCTGTCCATCGAGCCTTTCGTGAAACGGAGGAGGGGAGCGGTCAAGCCGAACGGTGCCGATTCCGGATCGGAAGCCCAATCCTTTCGGAGAAGGGCGAGCCTGAGGGTAGACCAGTGGCCCTCCAACCCGGGAAAAAGACAGATTGGTTTTTACATACCAAACACATCAAAACACCGTCACTTTTGCTAGGTAAGGCCCAGGTCCTTGATGGGTTTCCCCTGGATCAATCATGCTGTGATCTTTTCGGCAGGTGTGAATCAGAAGCACCCTGGTGGTGACTTGAAGAAGGCACCTGTTGTTCAGAACACCACGCGACGGCGAAAACCCACGCGATGACCGTGGACCGGACCCGAATCCGGAGGGTCCTTCTGGGTTTTTGGAGGGACCGGGAAAGGCTTGTTTTCTCGTTGGGATCATTCCTGATCATTCCAAGAGAGGTTGAACAGCCCGTCTTGTCGCCCATCCCGTATGTACCACAGACCAGGGTCCTAGTTCTGGTCTCTCAACCTCTCTTGGTTCCAAAAGGAATGCTTGTTTAGGTCTGTCCGCAGGTCGAACACCCGACAGAAGGTCGGTGGACCGATGGGTTCCATCGGATGAACCGGACTGATCGACCCGGGTGTTTCACGAACACGGCGGGGGGGACCCTTTCCGAAGACGAAGCGCTTAATTTCGCATGTGATTTGGGGGGTTGAAATCGAATCAGCAGCCATTTGATGAACTGCTTAGACTCCGGTGTTGGTAGGTTTAAGCCCCAAAGCCCCACCGTCCGGGAGGTCGGGAGGATTCTGGGTCGAAGGGTTCCGGACTCGGAGACGGTGGAACACCGCGTACATCCACCGGCGGGGCGGAGTGGGTTTGACGAGGTTTTGTTGCAATATTCTTGCTACTTATATACCGTTTGGTATCGTTTTGTCATGTTTTGTCTGTATCTAGTACGTTTTTTTTTTTGGGGGAGGTTCATTTTTTTGAATATTTTTTGGATTCGGTGTGTTTGTCTAGTTCTATGATTTTCGAGGACTTTCTTGTTTATCTTGTTTGTTCCTTTCTATGTCGCATGTTCCGTGGTGTATTCTTTTCTTCCCAACCCAAGGGCCAGTGCTGCGGGATTCCAGTCGATGGATCTACGTCTTTCGACCATGGGCGACCCGTCTCGGTCTCTGAGGTTTCTAGAAGACCAGACTCGACCATGAGAGTCATCAAAAGAATGGTCTGACTGACTACAAAAACGATCAAACATGCATGATTTCAGGAATGCTCCTGACTGCCTTTGAGGCAAACAACTGGTCGAACTGGACATGGCTCTTTGGACCCTTACCGGGTGTATAGTCATGAGTCATGATGGGGTAAAATGAGTCAAACTTGGACTTGCAGGGGACGGTCACCAGACGTATCCCCGCGGTAAGGGTCATTGAACAGTAAGGGAACACTGGCCATGGGCGGGAAGCATTCACTGAATTCTGTTTGGAGGGTAGATTTCAGCACATTTCATGTACCTCATCTCGTTGCACCGTCTCATTTGGGCGCGACAGGGCAAGAGGAAGATGCGGCAGGCGCAGAATTTGGGGATGGAGTATGGATGGGATCTTTTTGAGAGGCTTTGAGGAAATCTCTTCAAAGCGAAACAGATTTGAGGTACTAGAAGCTACGAACGGGGCTCCTGGCATCGCTACTAGGAGCAAGGACGCTACTAACTAGGGCCAGGGGATCCTGGCCGCACTACTAGGAACAAGAAGCTACTAGTAACCAAGGGCATCGCTACGAACGGAGCAAGAAGCTACTTAGTAGCTCCTGGCCTTACTACTAGTAGCAAATAGCTACTAGTAACAAGGGCATCGCTACGAACGGAGCAAAGGACGCTACGAACGGGGCTCCGGCCTTACTACTAGGAGCAAGAACGCTACTAGATGCTACTAGTAACAGATTTGAGGACTCTGGGACTCGATCGGTCTTGGCACCAACACTTCGCATGCGCACGTTGGCGGAAGGGTATGGAAGAACCGACCGGGACGGGGGGTTGAATCGGTACGCAATAAGAGGTCCAAACAGAATATATATAGTTTTATTCCAATTCCATTCTTCTGGTGATTTCTTGTGGCTCCTATCCATGTTTCATGGTTTTTAAGATTTGCTGGGGCTACTTTCTTTTTCAGTTCGTGAGGTGGATGGAACATGTCAAAAAGCAATCCAGTGATCCCCAAAATAGATAGAATCACACACCCTCTCAGTCCTTTTCATGCGTGGCAGACACTGCATACGATCTACAGTATTGTATATAATATATATTTGGGATTCATGATGCGGAACATCTCTACCTGGAAAACCCTAAACCAATGGATGTATTCATAATATGTTTTCCCAGTCTCAACCCACATGTTATGTAAAAACATCTCAAGCAAGCCATCTTGGGTTAGTAAGCGTTTGTTTCAATTAGCTTTCCAGGTGGAACTGTTCCATGCTTCATGTTGCAGATGGCTTCTGCTCCGCTGAACTCTCGCTTTCGCTTCACGCCCTGCAAGTCACGCGGGTCAAACAGACGGGGGCAGATCTGCCAATCGCTCGAGCCCTTCGTCCGGCCGAATGGAGCTTCAGAACTGCCCAAAGCTCCCGACGATGAAAGAAGAGGATGCACAATTCGGAAGTATTGGGGAAACATCCGGAGCTTTCGGGAGTTAAGATTCACGAAGAACCACGATGCACGAAGAAGATGCACGATGAAAGAACCGTCCGGCCAATGTTCTTTAAAGAAAAACGGACGTCTTTGGCACAATTCGGACGTGCACTGAGACGAAGAATCATTGGAGTAACTCGTGGCACGCGTCATGGAACTCCGGGAAGACCCACCCAAACCTATAGGCATCTTAAAGAGGATGTCACAGAATAGATGGCACAAGTTACCCCAGGTTTGGTGGTTTAGTGGACCCCCATCTGTCTAGGACATCATGGGGTCTCACGTGCCATCGAACCTCTGAAACCACTGCATTTTCGGAGTCAACCCATCGGATGGTGCAACTCCTCACTGTATAAGCCAAAAGCCTTCCCAGTGAAAACACAGCGCTTGTGACACTTGTGACACCACCCGAATTTCTCTTCCCCCGTGGAAGAAGAAGTTTTCACGATGAAGATGTCAGACAACATCCGGAGGTGAACACCAGACGAACTCTAGCTTCAGAAAGCTTGGTTTGTGCATGTAAATTGCCGTTTGGAGGCTTAAATTCCTACAGAAAACACAGATTCAATTCAATTGAATAACCGATTGCAAGAATCATTTGCAGGTTTCATGGGTCGGGTAGCAGGTTTTGACTCAGGAAATCACCTGAGGAGCTTCAGAGGAGCTTCTCCCGCCAAAACACCGTCTTTTTCAGGGCTTTGACCTACGTGCCACGTGCCGGCCCTTCCACCAAAGCGGTGGCCCCTTCAGGTGAAGCGCAAGTGGGGGCCCGAGCTGGGCTGGACCGAGGGGGCCTTGAGGCGTTGCCGGTGACCAGTGCAATGCGTCCCTACAGTTCAAGTCGTCGTGGGCCGGGGATTCTTGGGAAGAACAGGGGGGCATCGATGGGTGTGGCTCACAGAATCCGTTCTCGTTGTTTTCCTTCATTTCTTTTTCGCTAGCAGATGCCATGATTGCATTCTGCAATGCAGGGGCGACAATGGACCTGGTGCAGCCCAGGAATGAGAGGGCACGGAGTCTGCATGAGGAAGAAAGGACCTTCCACATGGGGTGGATGGAGGTGGTTTGTCAATGAGTCATCGTGAACGCTTGCCATAGATCGATGATGGGTTCAAGCGTTTTTCAAAGAATGGCCCACTCCGACCGTCTCCGAATCTTTACTTGTCAAATGGCTGCCTCATTCGGACGTCAGGGTCCATGGCCCAGAGCACGGGTCCTTTGGATGGCTGATTCCACCCACCCAGTCACCCGGATCTCCGTCCGAAGCGTTCGCGTCGCCAGCTTCAGGCGTCGCCCGCCGGCGCAGCGGAGCGTGGAGGCCAGGGGTGCGGGGGTCGTGCCTCAGGTCGAAGAGGTCCGGACATGTCACCGCACCACCAAAAATGGCGTGGTTCATAGGCACCCCAGACAATCGTCCCCATGTTTTTTTACGAAAGACCATCCAAGTAGCATCTTCCCTTAGTTTCACCACCCTCACCAGGCGGCGGTGACGAACACCGTGTGTTTCCTTTCTTTTTTTTGACATGTTGGAACAATGGCCGGCCCTAAGGATCCAAGCACCCTCGTTTCGAAGGTGGGACTGGGGTGGGAGGGTCCAAGTACCTTTTGAGGAGGTACTTGGATCCCTAGAGGGTTGCTTGGGATTCAGGCTAATTATTAGAGTCAATGCCGGGCCACGAAGTACAGGAATCCCAGCATGGGGTGGGATTAGGATGAACCATCCAGGTGCCAATCCAGGTGCGTAGACCGTTTTTCTTCACAGAAGAAAACAGCCTGCGACTCGAATTATCAGGGGTCACAAAGGGGTGGTGTTTGGTCCCTGAGTGAGTGGATGTTCTGGGCACCCCTAAGTTCGGCACCCCTTTGTGACTCCTGGTGCCAGATATTTGATTGGGGAGTCTGGCTGGTGGTTTCGAAAGAGAGGACCCACCCACTCAAAAACCGCTCCCAAGCTACCGTCATTTTGAGATTGGTCACCCAAGACGACTCCTACCCACCGTGACCCGTGGCGACCCCCGTGACCCCCGTGCTACGCCCCCGGGACCGCAGCGCCGGGACCGGACGGGCACGTGGCGCGCGGTGTGGGGGACGGACCCGTCTCCAGGTCTCTCCGGGTGGTGCGGAAGTGGCCGTGACTGGATGCGATGATGGGGATGGGGAGGATGTCTCAAGAAGGTTGGAAGTTGGCTGTGAAGCCTTGTTGACATGAACAGGACGCTGAAGAGAAAGTGACCCAGCGCTTCAGCTGATACAGGTCTAGGTTCCCACGATTTGAAAGCGTTTGAAAGGATCTCATGAAGAAACACCTGGATCTTCAAACGGCACACATTGCCAGAAACATGTTTCAGTGAAAAGGACGCCGTAATCAAACAATTCGCCGTTTTAGGGGTCGCAAACATGTGCTCCAAATCTATGGACGCCTAAAGACGCGGTTTGGACGCACGGTTTCTGCCGGTTTGCCTGGTCCACCAGAACAAGCACCCGCCGTCTTTGGGAAGAGACGCCGGAAATACCCGGCCCTTTTTGGCTTGAACATGCCATGATTTGTGCCGTTTCGATGATCCAGGCATGGGCCATATGCTTTTCATGTTTGCTGGGAAAATCGGATCGAGAGGACGCCGAGCGCTCGACACACGGAGTTCACAGCGATGAACGGACAGAGAAAACAGGGTCAAGCAAGGCCCCCCTGGTTTTGACGCATAGCCATCTCCAGAGGATCTCAGATGCTGCTCATCATGTGCTGAACCTTCAGATCTTGGCGCGCAAGTCTTTTTTCCTCTGGTGCCACACGCCCTTTGCCGCTGCTCAGAAGATCCTCCTTTGCTGAAGGCGTTTCAGGAGCCTTCTCAATCACCTCCGAAGTACTTGCAAACTCACATGGAACCAGAGAATTCACGGGTTTCGACCATTGGAAACCGCAGACCAACCCAGTGGTGGACTGGTGTGGCTTCCTATGTGGTCCGTCAAGGCGTTGCTACTCCCGAGGCTGATGCGCACATGGATGATCCTCCGGAGCTGGGTACCTTCATCGAGGCGGAAGGGAACCTGTTCCCTTCATCGGAGCTGGGTACCTGTCCCCACGCTTTCATGAAGTGGTGGCAGTGCTTGCTTTTTGAGACCCTGGCCATGTACTATCCTGGCACATAACAAGTTGGCAGTTTCGGGGATTTCTCAGTATTCTTTTCTGGAAGGGGGCCTTCAAGCACGCAGTTAATGCAGTGCAAAACCAGTCTGAAACCTATGTGACAGGACCAATTGTTTGCATGAATCCTGCAAGGGCGGAGAGTTGGGGAAGGACAAGTTGACAAGTTTTAATGACGCCACCGGTAGAGAAAAGGGCCTTCCAGAGGATACTTGCTACTTACAATAGATGGAGGTATTGGACGAGGGAAGAACGTGGCATGAAGGAGATGATTCAACCAATATCAGAAAGGTTTTGAAGCAGGAGCTTGGGATGAAGAATTGAGGAAGAAGGCCTCGCCATAGGATGAGGGTTGAACAAACAATAAACTTTGTAAACAAGGAAGGCCTTCCGGGCTATGTATTATTGTAAAGGATGACTCTGCAACCAAGACACAGTATCTTTACACAAAGACGGTCATTGATGTTTCATACTATATCAGAACACATGCTTACCCTATGTTAGCAGCATTTGCGTTGAAACAATCGTAGGAGATTAGGGAAACGGACTAAATGGGACATGAATTAATAAACACTTACAGAGGATGAGAACCTTGAAATAAGGATTAGTCAAAATTGAGTTCGTGTGAACGCACACACACAAACGCCTTGCAATAAGGGTGGCTTTTGGAAAAGGGGATGCACTTATATATATATATATGTAGGATAATCAATTTCATAAAAGGAAAGCTCTTGCGTCGTCTTGCGTGAATGCTCTCCTTCTCAAATGAGACTCTTACAAACGACAATACTGTCATCAAAATATGGGTGTTGAATTCAAGGAAGGAATGTTGAAAAGACATCGACTTGGGAAGGGAATACACTCAAGAAGGATGACACTTGTTGGTGTAGCAGAAGATTCTTGTAAAGGAGCATGCAGCATAGGTATTGAACAAGGGGGAAACCATGGGGCAGGTTTACTCTCAATGCCCTCTGCTTGGAGGAGTGGGGGTGGACCAAAAAGGGATCCAGCAATGTTTGGCCATGCGTCAAACCATCAAACCAGTTTTGGCGACTCGGAGCGAACACTGCACCTCGGAGCGAGGGGTGCGCTGAAAGTTTCGATTTCGTCCAGGCTCAGATGTGGTTTGTATACCATGTAGACCCAGACTCTGCCGACTCACGTGCCCGACTGCGGCCGGCCTGAAATGGGGTAAACCACGAAACACGTGCGACGTCACGTTCTTCTGGAGCCTTTCGACGTCCGACTGCTCAGTTCCGACCTCACGCCCACGACGTCCGACGCAGGGCGAGAGGAACGATGGAGCTTTGAGCCACTCGGCGGCGTTGCGGTTCCGCGTTGGGAGGTCGACGCAGTGAGTCGGGACGGCACTTTGATGAGCCTGGGGGTGTGAAAACCTGAAGTCCTGTTTTTGCCCCACTGAAGTGAAGCTCGGAACTTCGGGTCACAGTCTAAGACCATGGATTTGAATTGGGACTAGGAATGGGGTATACCGGTATACCCCTATGGGACCCTAGGAATCGAACCGCAGCGTTGCCGAGCGTCCTTGCTCCGTTCGTAGCGATGCCCTTTGCTACTGGGTTCTGGAACTTCACTTCGGGCCAAAGATTGATTGGACTTCAGGAACTTCACTTGAGCATGAACATTCGCTTGGGGGTGCCCTGGCTGGACTCTCCAGGATAGTCCAGGATGGGCTCCTGAGGTGAAGATGGTACAAAAAGAGACTGATGAAACTGGCACCCCAGACTCACTTGACCTGGAAGTCATGATGGCTCACTTCAGCTCCTGGACAGCTGCACAGACCCTGGGTCGAACGGCACCCTGTCTTGGCGATGAACGGCAGAGACGAGGAGCAGAGGCATGGAGGCATGGTGCCATGCAGGTAAGGAAGGGACTTTCGACAATGCCAAGTCCCAAGGTGATGGCGGAGGATTTGGATGGATGGCGGAGGATTTGGATTGATCCCCGCTCAAGCTGGGAGGTGCTTTTGGTCATGTCGACTGACGACCGCGTGAGGAAGAATCAGGGTCGCAGGGTCGGCTGGTTCATCGACGAACAAACCATCCGATCACTCCCTAGGACAGACAGGTCGCTGAAAAGGAACATCTCGGTTGGAATGGTGATCTTTCCCTAGGCTTCCAACAACCGTTTATAGGCTTGACCGAACCAGCTAAGGATTTTACACCACAAAAACCAGTTCAACCATTTTTCTTAATGGTCTTGGAAGGCTAGGGAAGTTCTCTTCTTTACGTGGGCAACATCAAAAATCGTCCTGGGGAAGGATCTTTGCGTACGAATTGTCACCCTTCTTCCCCCAGAGCCGCATTTGATGAAGGGATCCACCATGATCCACCTGTCGGACAGTTTCTGGGATCGCGTTCTTTTTTTTGTTCCGTGACCATTTTGGCCGTTAAGACTCTACGAGATATATACGAGCGACTAAGGGGAATCAAGGGGTCCTAAACCTTCAGCCGTGACCTGGCCCATCCCTGGGATCGGGCCCAAAAACCGGTCTTGAAATACCTGTTTTTTGTGGTGGGAAGCGATCCAATGGCATTCCAGTTCGTTAGCGCTGCGAAGGATTGTGGATGACTTCGGATTTCAGGATCTTGGTTGGCACGGCGTTGATCACATGATCATGTTTACAGTATACAGTATACAGGATGTTTTTGGTGAGATGTAGGATGAGGTCCTTTTTCCCATCATTTGCTGGACCAATCTTTTCTTTAAAACCCCAACGGAGCGCCACCTGCCGCGACCTCTGCGACCTCCTCAGGCGACGTGGCCAGCTCGCGCGCCGCGCGCGCCGGCATTTGGCGCTTCGAACGGCCGGATCCACGCTGCGTGCCGTGGCGCAGAAGCAGCGAACGGCCGCCGGGGGGGGGCTGGCGCGGGCTGGCGGGGCCAGAAGATTCTAGGGGTGCAGGGGAGCGAACCCAGGGAGGTCTGCAGACCCAGACGAAGTGAAAGACGTCGCGCCACCGAATCCCGAGGACTTCCAGGGCAGACATGGGGCTGAAATCCGCTGAACCCATTTTCACGACGGAGCTTCGTTGAACTAGAACTGCTTCCACGAAGGAAGGTCTTCGTGGATTCTTTCCCATTCCGGCCGCCGCGTGGACCGCACCGCGTGGACCGCATCACACGTGGGGTCGGCGCCTCAGCGGCTCGCAGTGGGCGAGCGGCTCCGCTCGCTGAAGGACTATCGCCACACGGACTTCGTGGAGCTCACCGCGCCGCTGCTGAGCATGGCCGCCCTGCCGTTGATCTTCAACGAGTGCACCTGGGACGGGACGGACGGGGGGCGGAGACCGGTGACGCGGCGCTGGACGAGCGGTGCCGAGGCGCTTTGGGCGTGGCGAACGGGGCGTGTGTGGGGAGCAGTACACTGGTGGGGGGGGCGATGAGCGTGGAAGTGAGGCCGTTGATGTGGGTGAAGAGTTACATGGGAGACGGAGATGGTCAGAAGCCCAAAAAGATCGAGCATCAATTTAAGAATGGTGCCTGATTTTTGGCACCTTGAAGGAGTGGGGTCCAAACACTAGAGAGATCCCCAACCAATTTCTTTTTGGTCGATTTTCCTTCTTCCAGGGGGCGTTTCGATGCTTTTGAAAGGTCTCCCAACGCTAATGTACGCCCACCTGTTGGAAGATCTTGGTTGATGATTCTGCCATGGTTGACCCAGACATTTGTGATCGGAACGAAAAGGAAACAAGGCCCTAGCCTTCAAAGACCATGTAAAAGAATGGTTGATCAGGTTGATCTGGTTGTAGCAGTCTAAAACCCTTATAGATCTTTATGGTAAATCAATGGTTCTTCGGTTAAAGATGGTTGTTGGATGTTGTTGGAATGCCCAGGGCCCCCAGGGAAAAACATCCCCTGACGCTTGGGTGACGCTTGGCTAAAGACCGACGCTTGCCCCAGAGGTGGGTGACGACGTGAAAACCCTTACGGTATAGCTTAATGGCTCCTTATATTCCCTAGGGGTGTCCATTCCCTCGGGCTTACCGTGCGGTCCTGGCCGCCTCCGTTTCGAAGATGGGTTGGGGTTGGGGTTGGGGTGGGTGGGTGCATATTGTGTGTGCCCTAGGGAACGTGAGGTTCTCCAAGCGATCACAACTTGGAACTTGGATGTCTATATTGTCAATATTTACCCCTGCGGATTGTTCCGCCGGCCCTTTTGGCTGAGGGGAGGGGGGGGAGGGGGGGGGGGGGGGGGGGGAAGTTAGACTTGTCAAACATCCGCGCCGTGGGTACAATGAGACTAAAAACAAAACTACTACTAGGATAGCATACAAACCAATCACCTAAAACACAAGGCGCCCAAGGGCCAGCGGATTATGGGGAGACACACGCATTTGGGGTGTTTACGATACAGGAGCTCCTGGTGGGTACAGGGTTTGGGGTTGGGAGTCCAGTCGACTTATTCACAAAGAGGGTCTTCATGAGACCCGAATTGCCTTCGGTGGTGCTGACATGTCGTCGATCTGGGAGTCACAAGAGAGGTCGAGGCTCCTCACGGGCGAGAGGTCAAGCACGACAGAGAAGCCCCGAAAGGTTCGGCAAGGATATATGGACATGGCAAAGTCAAACATTTGGGTGCGACTAGCTAGATCTTCCAAGGATGCACATATAATAGCTGCTTTTTGTTGATGGATAAAACCGCAGCCATTTGAGGCCGACATGTTGCATAATTGGAAGACCTATAGGTGGTCAACACATGTCAAAAAACCACCTGGTCCAGGACTGCTCCAGAGTGGGAGGACCAGTGCTTGGTCGATCGCTGGTACGGTGCGATGTGTCCAGCTGAAGCACCCCAACACCGGTTCGTCAGTGGGTTTCGAATGCTGCAACGTCTCGCAATCTCGCAACTCTAAGATGCCCAACGTCTCGTCCCAGGTAGCAGTTGCATCCATGAGAAGTCAGTAGCAACCTCAGCCGGTGACATGCTGCGAAACACGCCTGTCTTTTCGAACGCTTCAGCTCCGCAGAGGGAAACACCGCAGAACGTCCAACGTGGAGACGTGGCAAGGATCAAAGGCCCTAGCCGCCCTAGCCTTCAAAGACCATTAAACAATGGTTGAGTTGGTTTTGTAGTGGAATATCCTTAGTAGCATAAGGGTTGCTTGGGATTCAGACCATCAAGGGTTGCTGGGTAGGCCAGGAATCCTGCAAGTTGAATAGATGGCACCCTCCGTCACTTGCTTCTAGAGTTACTGGAGCCCTTGGGACGCAAAAGCCGCTTTGATTCCAACCAAGCACCCCAAAAAAAGGCAGAAATGCTGCGTTGAACGGGTGCTGTTCGGGAACCAAAGGCTATTCCCTAAGGATCCAGTCGTACCCTCGCTTCGAAGGTGGGACTGGGGGCCCCGGGTGCCAGCCAGTCGGGTCCCGTACCGAACCTGAGGAGGTACTGTACGACCGGATCCCTAGGGATTAAACCATTGGAGTCATTGGAGTCTTAGGGATTAAACCATTGGAGTCACTGTACTTGGTACTCGTACTGTACTTGTACCTGAGGAGGTACTGTGAAACAAGCCATTTGGAGTCTTTGAGTCCTTTGAGTCCATTTGGACGCAGCTGACCTAAGACTGGTCTCGACCGGTCTCCGAACGCTCTCCCTTCCCTTCCGACACTGAGGATTGGGGGCTGGTCCGGGAGCTGAGAGGTGAAGTGGATCGGAACAGGTTGAGTGGGGTTTGATTTGGGCCCATCAGATCCATCATGTACCAGCACCTGGCTGGAAGGGGTCACCTGGCTGGTTTCGCCCCTACTACGGGACCTCCAGACAGGACACCACTGTTTCAGGTCCAGGTCCTCGTATTGATCAAGATTCTACATGATTGGCTTGGATGTTTTGATCACTTTGATCATAGGATGCTTGAACATGCCGCCACGCCCACGACCACGACTGGCACGACGAACGACGAAGCGGCGAAAGCTCGCATCGCCACGCCCTTCGAGAAGACTCGACGGGTCAAGCGAACGACAGGAGGACGCCGGTTTTCACCGCCACGACTCACGACGGCCTAAAAGGTGTTGGTTTTCACCGCCACGACCGGTTTTTGGACCTGAACGCCCAACTGGGGCAGAGCAGAGCTGCGGAAACGCCACGTGGACTGAGGATATGGTCTGGTGCAACTTCTTAGCCTCCAAGACTGGTGCCTATAGCTGCTGAGCACGTGCAGACAGGGGGGTCGTTGAAGCAGGGGAGGGGTTGTTGATTGATGCAGACAGATGAAAGATCATTAGCACGAAGATATCCTGACAGTGCGAGGGCTTTGTGAGTCTTAAGAATTACAAAGGGCAACCCTTGTGAAACATGTCCATTCATCTTCCATCATGCCCCAACTGGTCCTACGTTAGAAAGGCAACTGCTTGAGCTTGAGCCCTCAAATTCATCCAACATTCATCGAGCATTCTCAAACTGCCGTGGAACAGGATTCGCCTGCACGTTTCCTTTACACAATGGGATGTGTTGACCACTTAAGTAAGGCATTGTTTACATGGGAAACTTGTCTGGGTGTTTGTGTGTTTGGCATTTTGCAGAGGGGTACCAACAGCATGCAGATTAGCAAACATGTGATTTTGTCGTCACATGTGGACATTCTTATTTCAGGTGGTTTAGGCATGCCGGGATCCATTTTGTGGAACACTTGGCACCTTGCGGAGAAACATGTGCGGGGAAGAAGGATTGACTGAGTGCAGAAGATAGATGAAGATAGACTGTGGCACAGACCTGAAGACGGCCGATGAAAGGCTGCCTCTACAAAATAACACATTCTACAAAATGGGTCGTGCAAGTGTCATTCGCCAGTTTGACATCTAGCTGGCCTGCAACAGGTTGCATCTCTACAGAATGCATCATGCATATGCACTTTGGAGTGCTGGTAGGTCATTTCCCGAGCAGATCCCTATCCATACTTTTTTGGAAGCGCACCATTTTGTAGTGTGCCCCTGCCCCAAAATGACCGTTTGCTAGGCCCGACATTGGGTTTTGACAGGATTGTGATTTTGCAGACACCTGCAGATCCACTTTTCGAACAACTACAAAATGCCTCACCTCGATAACAGGGAATGAAAAAAGCCGTCGAGGGAACAGCCAGGACTTGCTCTCCCTCCGATCCCCTTCGTCTCTGTCTTTTTCGGAACTCGAAGATCCTTCTCTGCATCGTTTGGCCATGACTCAACTGCAGAAGTTCATCCGAAGAGTCAAGTTGATATCGTTTTGCTCGGTTTCTGTGGTTCCTCGAGGGACCTGTGTGAGCGCCCTTACTGTCCCTAGTCCATGGCTTTCGCGCCGAAAGGTGACTCTTGGTGATTTTCATGAATTCAAGGTCGGCAACTAACAAGGGTTTTTGAGCAGTCAAAGCTATAGTAATCCTGGAGTAGATAGTAGAGCCAATCCAAAAACATGGCTAGTTGCCCATTGTTTCAAAATTTTGGATTTCCCCATATTCTATCTACTCCAGGACGACTATACCCTAGCCTTCAAAGACCATTGAAAAATGGGGACGACCTGGTTTTGTAGCGTAAAATCCTCAGTAAAACAGCTGCTGGTTGTTCTGTATATTTCAGGCTTTTGAAATCAGTGCTGGCTCGAATCCTACCGGCCTACGGGGGTTATGATGAACCAGCGACGATCATTTGAGGTTCGACACCTGCAGGTTCTGATGTCAAATTCATTGGTAAACGCAGTGCTTTGTCATGCGCTTTGCCTTAAAAAAGAACGTCTTTTTCGCGACACCTCAAGTTGCCTGCTTTTTGCGTAACTAGCTGTCCCCAGGCAGGCTCCGTGTGCAAGTCTTTTTCCTCGATGCCGTTATCGAGCAAATCAGCGGCGGCGCACCCATCCGACATGGAGCTGCTACAACTACGCAACAAACGCCAACTCAACACCAACAGTCACCAACAGAAAAGGACTTAGTTTCTGTTTTTCAAAAAAGAAAACCTCAACCGCACATTGCACCAAAGTGTGAACAACGAAAAACGAGTTTCGAACACCTGCTCCCAGTTTACCCAGCCACGATCTGAACCCAAACCTGTTTCGCGAACAAAAGAAACTCAAGGGTCAGAACAGTCACGAGTTAAGCCGTCTACGTACTGTTCTAAAGAAAAAGGGCTGACGAACCACAAAGGAAGAAAACACAAAAACGAGGAGGACAAGGAACACCGGACAACCGAAACAACAAAACTAAAGCACACACCGTGGCTACGTCTTGAGCCTTCACGCTCATGAGACGTATGTGAAAACAAGAACGAAATTACAGCACCCCCCGATGTTTTCTGTTTTTGGGCCCCCGTTTACGCTATTGCTTCAACTTGGTTACAGTATCTTGCGATATGCTGTTACGCAATGCATCGACATGCCATAACATTTGGCTCAAGGTATGTGCGTGTGAAAACAGCCGCTCGATCGCCTTTGCCCACTCGCTCTTGTGAACCTTGTTGGACTGTGAGTTGAATCCAGGGATACTATGCATTACACGCTCCACTGCGGGGAATTTGATCCTCACCCCACCCACCCCCCCCAACACCATGCGATGACACGACCAAGCGTCGTGGAGTCCAAAAATGTCAGAAAAGTGGGTCCGGTTTTCAGTCCCTAGGCAAAAACATGGCCAGTTGCCCATTGTTTCAAAATTTTGGATTTCCCCATATTCTATCTACTCCAGGACGACTATACCCTAGCCTTCAAAGACCATTGAAAAATGGGGACGACCTGGTTTTGTAGCGTAAAATCCTCAGTAAAACAGCTGCTGGTTGTTCTGTATATTTCAGGCTTTTGAAATCAGTGCTGGCTCGAATCCTACCGGCCTACGGGGGTTATGATGAACCAGCGACGATCATTTGAGGTTCGACACCTGCTCGGAGTTCGAGCCTCACGGCCAGAAGTTGCTTAACCAGCTGCTCAGCCAGCTTGGTTTTTGTAGAAAATTAGAGTGTGAATGAATGTGATGATGACGATGATGACAACGACGAGGATGACGACGACAACGACGACTACGATGATGATGATGATAATATAATAATGTAATCACATCTTCTAGGGTCTCTCGTTTCGCAGCACTGTGCAGCCTGACTGTGGAACGTTTGAGTGCAGCTGAGCTTCCTGATCGTTTGTGCGAGCCCCTCTCCCACGGTTCCTTTCCTGAGAAATTCAGAAAAGCATACGCTGGCACAGCTTGATTCTCAAGTGGACACGAAGCTGGAGTCACTGCATCCTGCCGCTGGCCGCTGAAAAGTCGAGTATGACATGAGCTGATTGGTGGAAACTTTCATATGGGGATTTTCAGCATGTGTGGGACCAAACTAAGCTCCTCTAATCTTCTCGTAAGCCAGCTGCTCTAGCCTGCCGTAGCTGCCCAACTGCGGACTGTCATGGTGAGTTGTTGGGTGTCAAAGCACCAAGACAGGCAAGAAAAACGACAGGAGCAGTGGAAGAATCTGAGCGTCAACTGCTTGTCCGGCTTCATCAGCAAGCATGTCACTCGCCGGTTGCCACACTGAGTGTCGCTTGCAACTTCATTGTCTATGCTTAAGTCTGACCAGACGTGCCCACTCTGAATGAAGGCCCAGCTCCGATCTTGCACCCATTTTTTGAGCTTGCCATATCGAGCTGCTTTCTTCAATGAACCAGGCGCTTTCTCAGCTCGCCAAATCTGTGCAAGCACCTTTCTGACCAGAGCCAGAGTTGACCCAAACAGTGCCACATCGCTTTCACTCCAACCGAGGGGTCAACGCCGGAAACGAACGCCAACGCGCAGGGTCGGAAGGATTCACCCCGAAGGATCTTCGCGCTTTCTTCAAGACCCGGATTTTGTGGGAGGAAACCATCCACACTGGTGTTTCCCTAGGGTTTATGGATTGAGTAATGAGTCTTTCTCACGTTTCCCTAGGGTTTATGCACATCAATTCCCTGTCTAAGAGAGGTTTCTTGGGATCCATCTCGGCGAGGGCTGAACTCGCCACTGCGGGCTTCGACCACCTCGAACTCGGAGCGGAGCGGAGCGAGGTTGCGCTTTGTTGGATGCCACGCCGGTGAATCACCTCAATTGGAAGCAGGCGCCGGTGAATCACCGTCTCAGACGCAGTTGGTGTCATATGTCAAAGGTCATGTAAACTGGAGGGCAGAGGCAGAGTTGGTACCATCGCGGTGATTTGGTGGGTTGGTGGGGCAAGGTGGGCGCAAGTCTATGCAGTTTCTCCAAGTATAATATAGTGCTCTGAAAGGGCATAGCTTAAGGCGAAAAACCTAAGCTGGCTGGACTCCAAGAACTTGAGATTGGACAGACTCGGTCATGACTCCTCACTGACAAGAGGTCACAGAACAGAGATGAACACAGACGAGGTCTGGTCATGAACAGGTCAGCTGGCTGCTGTGCCTAGGAAACGAATTTCAGGAGCTGGTCCACCAAGAGTGCCAAATCAAATTAAAGGAAACCGTGACACCCAGGACACCATTTTCATACCTAGCACTTCCAGTCTGGGTGCCTGTCTGGAGGCCGAAAATAGTCTAGCCAGGACACCCAGAGGCTGATCCTGGTATGTCCAAAGAGTTCCAGGAGCAAGGACGCTACGAACGTAGCTCCTGGCATTATAAAACACGAGGACGCCACGAACGGAGCAAGGGTTATCGGTACTAGCAGCAAGGACGCCACACGAGTATTGTTGTTTTTTATTTTTTGCGTGATTAAGGCCACACTCGAGGAGTTCCATGTTGTTCTCGGGAAAACATGGGCCGCCACCGTCGTTCACGACGCGGCTCGAGCCTCGAGCCGGAGGCCATGCCCTCGAAGCTCTTCTACGCGCCTTTGCTTTCAGGGATCCAAAAACGGTTTGGTCTTCGAAATGCTCTCGTGTGTTGAACTCTGGTGGTCTTGAGTTCCTCAGTGTGTTTGAGCTGTACCTTCATTTCACAGCACTCAGCTCCCCAAAAACGACTTTGGCGGTTCCAACGAGAGGATCTATGTGTCAGGAGTCACAAAAAGGGTTGGTTTTAGTCTCATCCAGGGGCCGTGGATGTTGGGACCCCCCCAGAACATCCCGTTCGTGCCAAGGGACCCCGAACGAGCGACACTCCGTTCGTGCTTTATTTTGGATATGGTTGGAGCCCTATAACTGGTATATTATATATGATATATCAGGATATACCACCCAAAGGGTACCTAGCACTTCCTGTCCGGGTGCCCTGGAGTAGGAGACCTGTTGACGTAGGGTAGGGTAGTTTAAGAGCCAGGACACCGGCTCGTCAGCATAATCCTGGTTTTTGCTTGGATGGACGATGGTACCACGACTCAGCCGGGGGGTCGCAAGGGTGCCACACCACCCGAGCGAACCGGGGAACTTCGGTAAGGACCGAAACGTCACCGACCGAGTCGTTCGTCACCTGCCGTGTGCGAAGCCGCGTGCTGAAGGGCAGACGAGCTGAGCTGGTCATGAAAAAAAGGAAATGCATGCATGATTCATGACATGATCAACGTTGGACCTGGTTCTTTTTTTGGGGCAGAAAGCCATTCCGACTAGGGCGCGGGCCCCACGTCCTTTTTTCCGATGCGGAACCGAACGGAGTGGCTTGGACCGGACGATCTTCCCGCTGCGCATCGGGTTCGGTCGATAGGCCGGGCACTGTGGCCCGATCGAAAGCGACATCCCAACAGAGCCGGGTGCTTCAAGGATCTGTCATGCCCAGAGAGGTGACATGTTTCCCTACAAGTCAAAGAAAGGACCAAGTTTTACTGGAGATAGTCATGCAGGCAGCCATACTGAAGGAGGCAAAAGACCAGGTTTTACTGGGTCAGACTGGACTTGTAAGGTTTTGGTGACCTGAAGAAGGACCTGTCACATGGGGTAAATAATTGGGACCTGGGATAGTCTGCATATATAGCCCAGGGCTCCAACCATATCCTCAGGTTCGGTGGTTAGAACCCCTGTCGCACCCACTCCAACCATGTTCGAAACGGAGGGGGCGGCCAGGAGCCCGTATGGGATACAGGGTCCTTCATCTCGCCCCGGCATCCCGTCTCGATGTGTGTGCCAACGCTAGGGAGGGTTCTTATGTTGCCCGCCCTTGGGCAACATCCCTATATTTAATTGGTCTTAGCAGAATCAGGAAGGTCATTGCTTAGAGGGATTTAGATGAACAGGGTCTGTGCGAACAGGGTCTCTGGTAGCCTCCCTGACAGAACAAGCATCATTGATTTACTGCATGAATGGAACCATCCCGCTGACGACGCCCATCCATGCACCCCGCTGAGGACGCCAATCGCGAAGTCCATCGGAAGTATCGCACGGCCGGCTCAGCGGTGACAGCCGACCGGAGGGAGGGATGCCCCCAGGTGTGGAAGGTCAGCTGAACGCTCGAGGTGGTGAGAACCCCCTAGATTCCTCCGGATTTGGGTCCGATCCCTCCATAGATTCGTTTTGGGAGCGAAAGGGGATGTCGTACTTTTGGATCAATTGGAGGTTCCTGAGAAGTCACGGACGGGGATCTCTGGACGATCAGCCTTCGTGTGGACGATCCGCGCACGCATTGGGAGTCAGGCAGCCAAGGGATCCATCACCACGACCCGACTTCACCGAAGAGGGGACATCACCCTATAAAAAAGCAGGTCCTTGTGCCCATAAGAAACAGGCACAACCTGAGACTCCAGGTAGCTTAGCTGGGCTGGGCGTAACTTGAGCACCGCCTTTGATGCTCCTCTTCTGTGCATGCAGCTCTCGCCCCTGGATGATGCCACCGCCGTTTCGCTCCCAACAAAGGGGCGCCCAAAAAGACCGCCGTCCTCGGCAGGGCGCGGGGCCATGGCCATCCTCCGGGGCGGTGTTCGTCCGAGACGCGCCCGAGGCCGCTTCTGGGCGCACATGAAGACGTTGAGTTGCGTCGCAGATCCGGAGAGAACGACCATCTCTGCCGAGGTGGGGGCTGTGGCGTGGGTGCGTGGTGCGCGGTGCGCGGTGGGTTGGAGGTGGGAAGGTTTGGGCCTGGGCCCATTGGGAGCCCGGGCCTCTTTTTTGTTCAGAACACTTGGAAAACTGCTGCATGGAGGGTCCTAATTAGGATTCTTGGGGAGACATGTTTGTTGAAGGGGTTCCTTTGATTTGTGCTTGATTGATGCACGCAGGTCGAAGCCCCAGAACACGAGAGGAGGATAGGAGGGCAGCTCCGGGGTGTCTCACTACTTCTCTGAGATGTGAAAAATCGATCTCCATTTTGACCAGACAAGTGGACAAAGGCCGGGGGGGTCTGTTCTAATTCGCCTCTCTGTCTCCATCCGAGTCTCCGCCCGTCCCTGAGCGATCTTGAGCCCCCCAACGAGGGGTCTTGGGGTCCAACTGCAGTACCTCCTGAGAAAATGCTTGACATTGAGCTTGAGGATATGGGACAGGAGCCCTAGGCAATCTGAAGATTCGTTTTCGTTTCTTTTTTTTCCGGTGAAGGTGAAGAGATGAACCCGGCTTTTTGATGAAGACCTCAGCACCAAGAAGGGCCTAGTTCTTAGGGATGAGCAAGCAACATCCTTCACTGGTCGGAGCTTTTGTGCCCGTTTTAAAAACCACCAGGATAGTGAACTCTCGCGGCCAAGTTGTTCTGGGGCCTCACTGGAATTGACATTGGACACCCCGTCCCAACCAGAAACCAACGCTGGGTTCCTGGCCCTTGAAATCCGGACATGTTGGGACCGGGCAGTTCCATCCACACACCAGACCGGTCTGCTTCACCGGCACAGGGCGGTCTTGATGGACTGGTCGAGCGGTTTCAGGTTTTGATCACCCTTGGTTTCTGGTTTGACAAGGGGTGAAACAAGGGAGATCGCCTTGACAAGGTAGACGGCCAAGTAGACCCCTCCACCTCAGGGGTGACAAGGGAGATCGCCTTTTGGCCTCCCACTCCACTGGTGCAGAGCGCTCGCCTTTGGCAGGGCCTGGCGCCGAGCACGAGGCACCTGGTGCGGAAGGAGCCCAGTCGGGGGCCCAGTGGATTCGGCGGAGTTTCCGCAGGTTTGTCCCTATCTATCTCGGAGGTCAGGGAGATCCTCTTTGTTTCTTTTGGATGGATGGATGGATGGATACAGCTGATTCAGCTGATGACATCTGATATCGGATGACATTTGATTCGCCCAGACATTTCAACGAGTTTGGAGGTGGACTTTTCCTTTGACCACTGGCTTTGAACGAGACCCCATCTTTGGAACCATGGATCCAGGTAAGGGCTTAACGGGTGTGTCAAGATGGAGGGTGGCAACGCCATGGATCCAGCCTTGTGGTCGAGCTGTTGGAAAGAAGACCGTCGTTGGGGTTGACCCTCGCACACAGCGATGATGGCAGTTCTGTGCGTGGTGTTTTGTTTGGAGTCAAGACTGCGTGGTGTTGACCTCTGGTGTTGACCTCTATGGCTCTTTCAGCTAAGGAGAATTCCAACCTGAGATCAGTGGATGCCCCAAGTCGGGATCCGTTCCAACAGGATGCTTCGACTCCCTGGAACTCGGACGTGGACCAATGGCCCCGAAAGGAAGACCGGTTAGCATCCAGAATCTTCGAGCCTCCGACCAAAACGGATCAACCACGGCATTTTACCCGCCTATAGGGCCGAATGGGGCCGAATGGGGGCCTATACACATGGAGACGCCGTACTTCGTCCGCCAACAGTGGGCCATGTGATCTAAGCAACTCTGTAGTTCGGCTCCGGACGGACTCCAACCCATCGACTCCAGCGGTGAGCGTGCGCCAAACCCGCTTTCTGAGCTTGATGCTTGACCTGGCTTTCTGGAGCTTATAACGGTGTTTTCTTTTTCAGAACTTTAGATACCTTTTGGCACAAGGTGCTGGAGCCTTTATGCTTTGGCTTTCTTATGCGCCGAGACCCAGATCGTCAACTCCTTCGTCAGTGGGGTCAGTCTGGTCGAAGTGATACGCCGTCGACGCCGATGACGCCGAGGCCATTGATCTTCCACTTCGTCTCGACGTCCAGACGATCCGGACGGTGGAGAGGGATCCGGACTTAGGGAAGAGGGAAGAGGGGAGAGGGAGCCTCTTTCAGACCGCGAAAAGGGTGTCCAACTTGGCTTGTGAGGTGGTTTTCCTCACCTGCAGATTTAGGGGTTAAGTATGCTAAGAACACCTCAGTACCAACTATACCCAGTCAGTGCAACTATTCCAGCATCCTTTTGCATCCGTGCAGGTGTTACCCAGATGTTACCGCTGTTTTTGGTAATCAGATTTCCGGATCTGCTAGTAGAAGGGAAGACAGATGGATGAAGGTTTCGACACCATGTTTCACTCTGTTTTCACCTTTTCATGTATATATATATATATATATTGTGGAATTCACAGTTGGTAGCAACAACTTGCAAACAGCGCACCTTGCGCTAAGCAACACAACCAAGCTTGCAACTCAACTAGCAAACAACGCACCTCCCAGTGCCCACTCTCTCTTTTCCGCCGCCTCTGCCTGAACGTTTGGTGGTGTCCTCACCACGGGGAATCTGCTATCGGTGTCCTCACCGATTTCGGATCAAGACCATGCAAGGCCCTCCCGCACCGCCCGACGACCTCGTGCCTAAGGTCTGCGGATGAAGAACGAACGGCCTCCGATCATGGTTGAGAAAGGCTGGAAATTCACACTCCCGAAAAACCTAAGAACTCTGTTTTTCTTCTTCAGAAGGATCTACTGCAGCATGACCTGTGGATAGCCATTGCATTCGGGTTCTGTTATCAGCCCTTTGTTTGAGAACTTGCATTTCATCATGGAGTTGGTAGCGTCCCTTTTGAAGGGTGTGACGAAGAAAATGACTTTGCATGACCTTAGTTAATGCATCCGCAAGCTGAGCTCCTGTATGGACCCAGCGTAGGGTCACGCCCTCATCCAACATATCTTTGATCGCCCTGGCCTGAAGCTGTGTCCTAAATTCTTGGCAATTTGGCTGAGCAGTTCTTGTGACGAGGTCATAGAGCGATTTGCAGTCCGTGACTGCCACTGATTTTGGAAGTTGCTGAGCCAAGTACGTTGTCGAAGACATCGGGGCATGACTTTCTTGGAGCACCTTCTTTGGTTGTTTCCAGTTCAAGTTCGGATTCAGTAGCCAACCCCAGAAAAGTCTAATCCATGACATCTGGTCGAGACTAGTTTGTAGGGATGTCGTTTCAGCCGCTAAAGTACTTGTCACTATTTTCTGGATTTTCTTGCAACCCCAAGACAGTGGGCTCACGGCGCATTGGAAATTTTCTGCGATGTCTTTGTGAGTGGCCATGATGATTACTCCTGTATGGCTCTCTGGACTTTTGGCTGATGCGAAAGATGCGTCTGAGAACATCAAAAACCTTAAGTCTCTGATGGGGATTGGTTGGATGCGTATATGGGTGTCTTTATACCTTTTTGCTTCATGCAACACACGATTAGCGTCGTGAAGGGTTTGAACAGTGGCTCTATTGATTTCACTTTGAAGATAGCTCAATCTGCTCGAGAGATCAGGGCGTGTGTTGGTTGCAGCATATTGGAGACTACCAATTAATGCTCGGAGACTGTGTTTCTCTTCGGAAGTGACAGGTTCCGTCAGGCATGTTCGCCTGTTAGCACTCATGTGGATAGGCTCAATTTTGCTGACGTATTTACTTTGAGACATGATGATGCTTTGATCTGGTTGTTGGGAAATGTCGACTCCCGTGAAGGTGAACTGGCCTGTCTTCTTGCTGCCGAATGGAAACTTGGCCTCGAGCTTGGAAATCTGTTGATCGAAATATTCATCACCCCCACACAAACCATCGTCGACATGGACTCCTAGCACTCCGGATGGCATGGTTTTACCTACTTGATATAGGATGTATGCGCATGGGTCGAATGGCGCGGGGACAAAGTTCAGTTCTTTTAATGTTCGGTCTAACTCCCTGTGCCACAAATAAGGGGCATCTATCAAGCCGTATGCTGATTTCTCCAATTTGCATACCTCACCTGATTTCAAGTTCATTGCTCTTCGGAGTTCTTCGACAGGCTCGATTGCCAGGATTCGGTTTTCCTGGGTCTTACCTTGTAAAAAGGCAGCACGGATGTCGAAGCTTTTGAGAGTCCATCCCATAGAGCTAATTAGCTGTACTAGTAGCATTTTGGATTGTTTACCTAATGTTGGACTGTCACGGGGTATTGAGTCAATCTGGGGGTCCTCAAATCCAAGTACTACTAAACGAGCCTTCGCCTTGTGGGTCTTCGGTCCAGGTCGACATGGGATGTCGCCGTGGGTTGACTGCTCGTTCTCCAAGGGTTTCCAAATGCATATCCATCGGCATCGCAAGATTTGCTCCTGATTCAGCTGATTGCGGAAGATCTTGCTCACCGTTCCGGTGTCTAACCAGTTTTGAATTTCTTTTGCCTTTGCTGAATCGAAGAGAGCTTGTTCGGATTTCGACAACTGATGGAGCTTCACCTCTGAACGGTCACGTTTTGCGTTTGATGCTATCAAGAGAAACTCTTCGTTTGGGTGTTCATTTTTCCAACTGTTGATGTCATCTTCGGAGATGATAGTTTCCCATTTCCATCCGGTGTCATGGGTTTCTCGGAAGGTTTCGTCTTCTAAACACAAAAGGTGATCACAGAGGAGCTCGTCATCCGGGTCATCCGGTATGGGAATTTCTGCAGGTGCAATGCTTTGAGGATCGTTTGACACGTTTCCGCTTGACCTGGATTCTATGTCTTCGATTGGTTCTTGGTCTGGCTGTTCTTCTGAGCTGCTTGCTGGTCTCGGTTCGACATTTTGTGTCTCTGGCGCAGCTTCGATTGGAGTTAGTGGTACTTCTGGGGTGTCTGTTGGAGTTATTTCCGTTTGTCTTTGGTTCCTCGCTTCACCTTCTTCCTCTACGCCTGGAATAGCATTGAGTCTTTGTGGAATATCGAGTTGTTCCAATGCACTCACTTCTCGAACATGTTCGGGTGACACTTTGACTAGGTTTCCCATGTGATTGCACCATATGCAGTGTTGTCCTTCTTGCTGGATGATCCGGGCTGGTCCAATCCAGCCCCGGGTGGATGGCGTTTGCCTCCAGATCATCACCCATGTTCCAGCTGGGTATGTGCCTCGATGCGGTCGTGTTCGATGCAGCATTGCTCTCCGAAGGTTGGCATCGTTGTCAGCCAGGTGGAATGCTTTTCGCGCAGCTTCTCGTTTGGCTAGCTTTTCTCGAAATTGGATCCCTTGTTGGGTATCTTCCTCTGCCAATAGGTGTGATGGGAGACTGTAGTCAGAAGTGATTGATGCGGGGACCCGGAGTGTCTTTCCAAATGTTAAAACATCTGGGGAATATCCTGACTTTAGGCTCAACGCGTTCTTTGATGATGTGCACTGGGCTAAGGCAACTTGAAGGTCTTGATATGACACAATGGGGAAATCTTGCTCATATTTACGAAGCATGGTTTGCAGGATGTGTCCATGACGTTCAACCTTTCCTATCTGCCAATGTGCTCCGGGAGCTGCCACGATTGATCGAACACTGAATTGGGTCAACATGCTGGAGAATTCACGAGATGTGAATTCTGTTCCGGCATCGGTGTGAAGTTCGATTGGAGCACCGGCCCACTGGAACCAACCTGTCACAAGTGCTTCGATTGCTGCTTGACTGTTTTGACCTGGGGATGCACATGCAACGTGGTAGTTTGTTCCATAGTCTATCACGTGATAGAAATGATATGTTGTTCCATTAAGGGCGGTGTACGTTACTCCATCAATTCCTATCCGATCATTGAAGTCGAGGTCATCCTTGATAGTTGCTGTTCTCTGTACTTTGGGTTGCTGTTCATTGGTACATGTCGAACATCTCATGTCAAGGATCCCCTGACTGAGGCATGGGGCATGTCCCTGTTCTCGGAGGACATGGCTTAACCGGGCATGACTAGGATGACCCAGATTCTGGTGGAGTTTGATCAGGAATGTCTTCTGTTCCGGGGACAGCTGCATGAACTTGGGACCATGCTTTTCGCTCCTAAAGTCTGCCTGTTGACTCTTGGTGGTTCGTGGAACACTGCATCGATCGCTGTCCGGGTGGCGGTCCTCCATGGTCTCCGGCACATCATGCGTCGGTTCATGGCTTGCAGGCTCGCATGCGGTCTCTGTCACCGCTGGTGGACAGCCATTCGAAGTCCTTTCATTGTCGGAACTTCGATTGGCAGCGAACATTGTCACATTGATTCTGGCGGCATGCGACGGTCTGATCAGTTGCCGATTCGACAATTCTTGCCAAAATTCCCAGTCCTGCTCAACTCTAATTGAAGCATCAATCCTACTTACGATGATGGCTTTTCGAAATGGTGCTTCGTTCCTCACAAGACCTTGGGGGGGACCAACCGTTCTATCAGAGCCTTTACATGCAATGACTCGCTTGATGTGTTTTTCCGGAAAAACTTCTTGAAGTTGTTGAATGATGACTTGATCAGTGAGGTCGGTCTTTCCTACTCTTCGCAACGTGGGTTTTATCTTCTTGAGTAAGATTTCTAGTCTTTGTTGCCGAGACTGGTTCGCAGGAATGTCTTGTTCGGCGGTCTTTCCATCGATGCGGCGGCGCTTCACTGTTCCATTCAGAACCTCCAAAGGCGTTGGAGGCTGTCGGGCATTCGAAGAATTTTGAGGAGGGTTGATGCGAGGTCGCTTCGACATCTCCTCTGGCCTCTCTGGATGATCTCTAGCATGGCTTACTAAGATTGGAACATATTCCTTTTGCTTTACCTTAGTGATCAACTTTGCCACTCTTCGAGCAAACTTTCGAGGGTATCTTTCAGTGAACGAACTGCATGAGATCCTACCTTCTTGGGTTTTGATCGTTCCAGCGATGGCCCTGTGCTCATGATCTCGATGACACGTGCGCCCATGGAGAGCGTCATGCATATCGATTGACGTCGTTCGAACTGCCATGCCCTTCTGGATGTGCAGACCTGTCTCTGGACATTTGAGGTCACCTGCATTGCA